TTTATTTATTGTGTATTTTCTATTTTCATGTACTCAGATTACCACTTATTTTTTTCTGTAGTACTTGGGATCCAAATAATACTTAAAAAAATTAACTTTGTTTCCTCTAGATTTTTACTATGTAGGCTTTTGCTATATAGTTGTCTTTGTTACAAAGCATCAAATAATTTGGGTCAATTCAGTAGGGATTTACTTTAAGGACAGTTCACAAAGAAGGTTGGCATCTCAGGCAGGACCTTCTTGAGTGATATGAATTTGGTCCTCAGAGTATCACTGAGTTCAGAATTAGACTCTCAACTTTACAGATCTTGAAACATAATGGAGAAGGTTCAGATGACCAGCTCGCAATAACGCTGCCCATAAGCGCCTGGTCTGAGTAGCCAGTGAAGTATAATGACCACAGAGTAAAACACACTGCTCATTGCCTAGCCAGCCCATTGCTAATACTTCTCCTTTAAAAAAGAGTCTTGGGCTGGTGAGTACTTAGAACAAGCTTAGCAAAGCACAGGGACCGCGGTTCAATCCCCCAGCACCACATGCCAGCCAGCCCGCCCCCTGGTGGGCTGAGCTGGCCACACACACACACACACACACACACACACACATAAATAAATAAAATTTAAAAAAAAAAAAAAGTCTTAGGGGCCGGGGAGATGGCTCAGTAGGATAAGCGCTTGACTGACAAATGCAAGGATCTGAGTTCAATCCCCGATTCCACCAAAAAAAAAAAAAAAAAAAGTCTTAACTGAAAAATCAGACTTCTTCCAGATAGTCTAGAATTATAGCAAAAGGCATGAAATTATAACAACCAGATGGACTCTCGTGTTTTGAGGATGAGCATATCCCGGTTACCATATGAGGACTGCCTCTATGGCCAGCCATAAAGGATATTGATTATTGAGAGTCCCTCTTAGGGGCAGATACTGTCTGAAGTGATTTATATGGTCAGTGTCATTTTATCCTTTAACAGTTACAGGGTGTGCATTTTATTCTTAATTTGTGGCGGGGGAAACTGAAGCTTAGAGAGGTTGAGTAACTGCCCAATGTCATATAACTATAGAGTATCAGATTGGAACACAGATTCTGACACAAAGGCCATCTTTGTGATATATTGTCCTGCTGTTCCTGTGTTAGAGTTGTATAACAGATTGTCTGATACCTCTTTCACAGATATTTTTCTCATTACTCTTAATTCTTTGTATTGGCTGCAATATAATTGCTGTCATTATGGTTATAAGTCGTCATATCCTAGTATTTCCTTAGTTATATCAGCATCATACCTTTGCCATTTGGGTAGATGGCTGATCGTAGCAATAATGTTTGGAATCGGGGCCAGGGAGATAGCTCAATAGAATAAGCACTTGCCTGGCAAACGCAAGGGCCTGAGTTCAATCCCTGGTTCAGCAAAAACAAACAAACAAAAAAATGTTTGGAATCTTCTTTAGGAGGCCTTTATATGCTGACTATATGAACTATAAAGTAAATTGCTTTGCTTGAAACTGTCTGATGCTGTTTGTGACTGTATTTTCATACCCCCCCCCCTTTTCATAATAAACATTGAACCTAGGCTCTGAGCTACATCCCTAGCCCTTTTTCTCTTTTAAATACAGGGTCTCATTAAGTTGACAAGGCTGAACTGGAACTGGTGGTCTTCCTGCCTCAGCCTCCCAGCTGGCTGGGACTGCAGGTGTGCGCCACCATGCCTAGCTTATACCTCCCATTTTCTCTTTAAGAGATCCTGTGAGCAAGGGGAAATTATGAAAGGAAGATCACTAGGGCACAGATGATTAACATGTTTTGCTAGAGTTACAGACAGACCCCTTCCCAATGTTAAGATTCAGGAAGAATGTAGTCTCCTTTTTTTTTTTTTTTTTTTCAGAACCAGGGATTGAACTCAAGCCCTTGCGCTTGCCAGGGAAGCGCTTATTCCACTGAGCCATCTCTCCAGCCCCTAAGAATGTAGTCTTAAGTTCAGTTGTACATTTCCTTGCTCACTTCTGCAGACCTCTGAAGGATTCTCCTGATTTTTGCTAGCTAGAATGATGTAAATAGAATTGAACACTTTTTAATGCAGTAATGTATAAGAAAACAAAAATCACTGCTCTCTTAAAGTTGACTTGTGTTCTAATTTTTTTTTTTTTCCTCAGAAAGAGTACATGGAGAATAAGAAAGTTGCTGTGGAATTAAAGGATGTACCATCTCCCCTTCATGCTGGCTCTAAACTTTTTCCAGCAGTCCCACTGCCTGATATTCATTCTCTTCAGCAACCTAAAATACAGCTTTCAACTGTCCCCAAAGTAAGCTGCTGTGCTCATTGCCCTAATGACCCCTCCACTTCACCACTGCATTTTGGTGGTGGTGGTGGCGGCAGTAGTGGAGGTACTGGTAGCTTGATTCACTCAGGCACACGCTTAGACTCACAAAGCACCAGGACAGTCACATGTCAGATAGGATCAGGGTTTGCTTTCCAGTCTGCATCTTCGCTCCAGAATGCCTCAACTAGAAACAGTTTGGCAGGCATTGCAAGTGACTTCCCCAGCATGTGTCTAGAGAGTAATATATCTTCTTGCAAACACCTACCCTGTTGTGGAAAACTTCATTTCCAGTCATGTCACAGTAACGTGCACAAGCTGCATCAGTTTCCAACTCTCCAGGGCTGCACCTCTGCTGGCTATTTCCCCTGTTCTGATTTCACAAGTGGGGCTCCAGGGCGTTTGGAAGAGCACATTTCACAGTCGGAGCTAACGCCTCACTTGTGCACCAACTCTTTGCACCTAAATGTGGTACCTCCAGTTTGTTTAAAGGGCTCACTTTACTGCGAAGACTGTCTAAAGAAGGTGTGTATCTTTTTGTTTTTTATGTTGGGTGCAGCTGAGGTTTGAGGAATGCCTTTAAGTGGATTTGTCTTGAAAAGTTTTTGTTGGGCATGGGATTGAGGGTTCTTCTTTGGCATAAGTCTTGCCTTAGTGGTATAACTTCTGCTAGTCCTTAAAGAAGGGAGGGGTAGAAACCATTCAAGGAAATACATAGTCATTGTATAGCGTATGTTTTTAGAGCTTCTGGTTACAATGAACATATTTACTATATTTGTGTGAGTTGAATTTGGCAAAGCCTCTATTCTGTCTTTTTTTACATTTTTATTTTTTAGGGAAGGGTCTAATCAGGGTCTCACTACTAGATCAAACTCTAGTGATTCTCCTGTTTACAGCCTTCCAAGTGCTGGGATTACAGGCATGTGCCACCATGCACAGTCTCAATTGCCATCTCAGTGTGCCTGGGGGTGGGGCTGGCACGGAAGGCCTGGGGGATCGAACCTGGGGCCCCTGTGCCTGCTTGCAGGTGCTTTTTTTTTTTTTTTTTTAAACATTTATTTATTGTGTGTGTGTGTGTGTGTGTGTGGCCAGCTCAGCCCACCAGGGGGCGCGGCTGGCCGGCATGTGGTGCTGGGGGATCGAACCATGGTCCCTGTGCTTTGCCAAGCTTGTTCTAAGTAGGTGCTTTAGACCACTGAGCCATCTCTCCAGCCCTGCAGGTGCTTTAATCCGCTAAGCTGTTTGGCCGGCTCTAAAGAAGTCAGGTTATTTTTTTGTTATTGTTCTCGGGGTTTTTTTGTTTTGTTTTGTTTTGTTTTGTTTTGTTTTGTTTTGTTTTTTGTACCAAGGATTGAATTTAGGACCTTGCACTTGCCAGATGGGCCCTTATGCTGCTGAGCTGTATCCCTGGTCCTTGTTGTTCTGTTTTTATTTTTTGTACCAGGGACTGAACTCAAGACCCTGTGCTTGCCACAGGGGAGACGCTTATGCCACTGACCTATTGTCCTGGCCCTGTTTTGTCTTACCTTCAGAGGCAAGGTCACAACCGATTTAGCAGTTGTGTGTTTCATGTAATGTGGATAGCCCCAAACTGTCTTCCTGTAATATGAGGAACTTGAAATTGAATTTGAGTCATGCCCATGTTCTTGTGAAAACTTTACCACCATTTATGTAAAGTGTATAAGGTCTCCATGGTAGCAGGCACATGGTCCAGGCTATAAAATTCTAATCATGGGAGTGTCTGCCTTGGTCATCTGTAGTCCTTTCTTAAGTTTTGAATTGATAGCTAATGGTTCTTGTAGGATTATTTGAAAATACATCTCATGAGAGGTTAGCATGTAGAATGTGAAGCAATTAGAATGTGTTTTCAGCGGTATATATTATTCCAGGTTCTGCAATGATGTATCTGAAACTTTTTTAAAAAATTTTTAAAACAGCCGGCAAGAAATAGTATAACTGATGCTGCTAAAGTCTGGCCAAATATACCACCTCCAAACACTCAGCCTGCACCTCTTGCTATCCCTCTGTGTAATGGCTGTGGAACCAAAGGAACAGGGAAGGAGACCACATTGTTATTGGCGACCAGTCTAGGCAAAGCTGCTTCAAAATTTGGTGAGTGACAGTATGACATACACTGTTCATTTTAAGTAGTTTTCATTAGCTAGTACTAACACCATTCAATTGCCTTTAAAAGAGTCCTTGTTCTAAATCTCTATGTGAGCTCTAAGGTGTATGTGAATCTCCCCTTCTCTTAGTAAAAATCTTTTTAGTATAAAATAAAGTACTGGAGAGACTAGGGGTTAACTTAGGTTCATAAAACACACTTCATGTATCCTCCCTAGAAGTATTTAATATTTAGAACAATTTGGTAGTAGCTGATTCTAAATGGTATTTAGAAACCTAAGAGTTGTTGATTAAAATAATTTCCCTGAAGCTTTTAATATAATAAGTTAACTTGTAGAAACATGTCTAATGTTCAATCAGATGTTAATGAAGTGTTAAGAATAAAGTCATTGACCAACAGCTTCATCTTATGCATCTCTTCAGTGTTATTCCTTACTGAGTAGAAGGACAGCTTGAGCTGAACATGAAAATCAGGTCCTGGAGTAGCAGCAGCTGATTGGCTGGTACATGTTAGAGATAAACACCACAGGTCAGCATGAGAGTGGCTCATGCCATAAATGCTTGTATTATAGGCTTGAAGTCACTTGACCTGTAGATTTTTTCTCTCTTGAAAAACAGGAATGTCTCTTAGAATGATATTTTGGCAATTTGATTGCTTATTCGATCAACCGGTGAATATCCTTCACATCAGTTTAGTTTCTTTCCCACTAAGAATACTAGTCACCCACCTATTGTGATAATTTGCCATCTTTTCCACTAAATTTAATTCTTTCTTTCTTTCTTTCTTTCTTTCTTTCTCTCTCTCTCTCTCTCTCCATTTAATTTCTTAAGGGTCACCAGAAGTTGCACTAGCCGGACAGGTGCTGGAAAACCTACCCCCCATTGGAGTTTTTTGGGATATTGAAAACTGCTCAGTTCCTTCTGGTCGTTCAGCCACTACTGTTGTACAAAGAATCCGTGAAAAGTTTTTTAAAGGCCACAGAGAAGCAGAGTTCATCTGTGTGTGTGATATCAGTAAAGAAAACAAAGAAGTTATTCAAGAGCTGAATAATTGCCAGGTTAAAAATTTTTTATTTATTTTTAAGAGTTGTAATTCATGGCAGCAGCATAGGCACATGTGGATTTTTAAAAAAGAATTCCAGTTCCAGATTTCATGACTTAATTGCATTGGTGCTTAGTATTCAAATAAAGGAAATCAGTAAATGCTAGAGATCATTTAGTATTTCATATTTCAGTAATGTTAGTTACACTTTGATGTTGTAATGGCATAATGGTAATGTATGTATTGTCTCCTTTGATCAGAATTCTTCTGTGAAGCAGGTAAGATTATTATTTGCAATTTACAATGAAACCAAGACCCTAAGAAGGGACCCAACATTTTTAAGATCACATGGCCACTAAGGGAAAGTGATTTAAATCCAGGTGATCTGACGTTAACGTCCACACTGTGAAGCTAGAATCTAGGTCTTTCGTTGATACTTTATTTACATTGCTGTCTCAAATTATACATTAGATGGCGGGGGAGATGGCTCAGTGGAATAAGCACTTCTCTGGCAAGCACAAGGGCCTGAGTTCAATCCCCAGTTCCGCAAAAAAAAAA